CCGTCGTAATTTCACTAGTTTAACTGACGTGGCGTCTCTGGTGGATCTCCTCAGCTCCACAAGATTCATCAGGGACTCCCTGGAATGCATCAACCGGCTCATGTCGTTGGCGCTGCTACCGGGTGCGCTGGATGATGCAGATCTGATGCCTCTTGCTGTTAGCTGTGCACTGGCGATGTTTCCTAGACTTCTGGCGTTGAGCAGGGCAGTTCGCCGATGTTCTGTGGTGTAGATGCCACCTATAAACAGTACTACATGAAAGCATTATCGTTATAAATCACTGGGTTAGAAGGGAAGCTCTAACAGGTGAACAGACTACTCTTCTGGTCCAGCAGCTTCTGCAGCAAGCTTTGTTCCAAAAAAAAAAGGTAAAATGGGGGGGGGGGGGGGGGGAAATGGTTTCAGGACTATAGGGACTCGGGAATGTATTAGACCCGTACTGTGACAGTCATACACCAAACTGCACTCGTGGTCTACACCAGGCCGACTGCCTATGCGTCCCATGACATTGTCTGCTACCATCTAAGGCTGGGCCAACCTGGGTCAGGTTATAATAATCCGTCAGGATTCGGATTCGAACCCAAAACCTTTTAGCTGGCTGCTGTGCATTTTGCTATTTCTACGAGGCCAGTAACATCTTTTTCCCTACCTGTGATCTGACCGTGACATCTAGCGGCACAAAGCAGATACTGGCAAGGAAGATAGAATAACACCTTCATTCATCGTTCAGATGATGTTACACGAGTTGATTCATTAGCGTAAGGCGCACGCACTTGTGGCTATGTGATAATAGGTTGGAATATCTAGCATGGTGGATTTCTAAATTGACTTGGACTCCCAGGTCAACCCAACCCAGAAAGTGTACCCAGGAAATTTCATTAGAAGTATTTTTTTTTTTTTTCGCCGGGTCAATCCCCCCTCACGGAGAAACCGCCCGGCTCTGAGATTGTTAGGCTCATGCCGTGAATAGTGACTCCCATGAGTTTGGGACCGATCCCGGCGCCTCTGGCCAGACAAAGTGCAGCAGAGCTACACTTTGATCTTAGCCAAAAGGCCGAGAAGTAAAGACGGCCGACGTGGTTAGACATCAGTTCTCGAGTTATGTTGGCCTGTTCAGTACGGTACTAGCACAATTTCTAGTATGCATTGAGACCAGGAATTAGCATTTCACCGTATACCCTGGCACTGAACTGCTGCACCTTTTACACTGGCACTGAACGGCTGCACCTTTTACCCTGGCACTGAACGGCTGCACCTTTTACCCTGGCACTGAACGGCTGCACCTTTTACACTGGCACTGAAAGGTGATCTTTTGCATATACATGTATTTTGTTCACTAGCCACGGGAGATAACCCTTCTAACATTACATTCCAAGTTGTGTTTTTTTTATCTCCCTGTATCGTTCTACATTCGTATATAATTTACATCGTTCACAAATTTTCAAGGCATCCACTTCATCTTATCGTGTGTGTTCGCACGCGTGCGCGTGTGTGTGTGTGTGTATGTGTGTGTGTGTGTAAATTTACTACCTATGCTTACATATTAGCTCTAGGTTCAGAATACATCTAATATATCATATTTGTACTGACAAGTTTGCTACAAACTGCATGATGAGGCAGAATGAATGCAAGCACTCATATGCGCCACACACAAACACACACACACCTTAAGAGCAGAATTGACAGACAGAGAGGCAGACAGGGAGACAGACAGAGAGACAGAGAGACAGAGAGACAGACAGACAGACAGACAGACAGACAGACAGACAGACAGACAGACAGACAGACAGACAGAAATAGGAAGAGGAGCATTTATTGCGTAAAGATATTTTATCATTGTCAGAATCATTATCATCAAATATTATTCTTTGCTATTTGGAGTGGACAACCATACCACTGTACATTAGTTCCCATTCCTAAATACTATTATTGCACAGTAAACAGTCTAAAATTTGATACCTTTAAACACAGTAACATAACATGCAATTCCATACTTATAACAACACATTCTAGCAAATATAACATAAAACTATGCATGCTTCAGTAACACTGACAATATTCAGGCTCAATCCCGCCAACCTTGTGGATAACGGGAACAGGGAGTAAAGAATGTAGTTACCATTGTGTTGCTATGCCAACCTCATGACTAATAACGTTCTTAGGAGACTCATCATTATAATAATCATTACAAGCCTTGGCTGCTGCCCTGGGCGATCATGCTTCTCCACATCTTGTAGTTTAAAACAGTTTTTATCAGTTCATTTGCTGATTAAAGGCTTCCAAGAATCTTCATATATTGTCTTCTATATCTTTCACATATTGTCTTCTATATCTTTCACATATTGTCTTCTATATCTTTCACATATTGTCTTCTATATCTTTCACATATTGTCTTCTATATCTTTCACATATTGTCTTCTATATCTGTCACATATTGTCTTCTATATCTTTCATATATTGTCTTCTATATCTTTCATATATTGTCTTCTATATCTTTCACATATTGTCTTCTATATCTTTCATATATTGTCTTCTATATCTTTCACATATTGTCTTCTACATCTTTCACATATTGTCTTCTATATCTTTCACATATTGTCTTCTATATCTTTCACATATTGTCTTCTATATCTTTCACATATTGTCTTCTATATCTGTCACATATTGTCTTCTATATCTTTCACATATTGTCTTCTATATCTTTCACATATTGTCTTCTATATCTTTCACATATTGTCTTCTATATCTGTCACATATTGTCTTCTATATCTTTCATATATTGTCTTCTATATCTTTCACATATTGTCTTCTATATCTTTCACATATTGTCTTCTATATCTTTCACATATTGTCTTCTATATCTGTCACATATTGTCTTCTATATCTGTCACATATTGTCTTCTATATCTTTCACATATTGTCTTCTATATCTTTCACATATTGTCTTCTATATCTTTCACATATTGACTTATATATCTTTCACATATTGTCTTCTATATCTTTCACATATTGTCTTCTATATCTTTCACATAATGTCTTCTATATCTTTCATATATTGTCTTCTATATCTTTCATATATTGTCTTCTATATCTTTCACATAATGTCTTCTATATCTTTCATATATTGTCTTCTATATCTTTCATATATTGTCTTCTATATCTTTCATATATTGTCTTCTATATCTTTCACATATTGTCTTCTTTATCTTTCACATATTGTCTTCTATATCTTTCACATATTGTCTTCTATATCTGTCACATATTGTCTTCTATATCTTTCACATATTGTCTTCTATATCTTTCACATATTGTCTTCTATATCTTTCACATATTGTCTTCTATATCTTTCACATATTGTTTTCTATATCTTTCACATATTGTCTTCTATATCTTTCACATATTGTCTTCTATATCTTTCACATATTGTCTTCTATATCTTTCACATAATGTCTTCTATATCTTTCACATATTGTCTTCTATATCTTTCACATAATGTCTTCTATATCTTTCACATATTGTCTTCTATATCTTTCACATATTGTCTTCTATATCTTTCACATATTGTCTTCTATATCTTTCATATATTGTCTTCTACATCTTTCACATATTGTCTTCTATATCTTTCACATAATGTCTTCTATATCTGTCACATAATGTCTTCTATATCTTTCACATATTGTATTCTATATCTTTCACATATTGTCTTCTATATCTGTCACATATTGTCTTCTATATCTTTCACATATTGTCTTCTATATCTTTCACATATTGTCTTCTATAACTGTCACATATTGTCTTCTATATCTTTCACATATTGTCTTCTATATCTTTCACATATTGTCTTCTATATCTTTCACATATTGTCTTCTATATCTTTCACATATTGTCTTCTATATCTTTCACATATTGTCTTCTATATCTTTCACATATTGTCTTCTATATCTTTCACATATTGTCTTCTATAACTGTCACATATTGTCTTCTATATCTTTCACATATTGTCTTCTATATCTTTCACATATTGTCTTCTTTATCTTTCACATATTGTCTTCTATATCTTTCACATATTGTCTTCTATATCTTTCACATAATGTCTTCTATATCTTTCACATATTGTCTTCTATATCTTTCACATAATGTCTTCTATATCTTTCACATATTGTCTTCTATATCTTTCACATATTGTCTTCTATATCTTTCACATATTGTCTTCTATATCTTTCATATATTGTCTTCTACATCTTTCACATATTGTCTTCTATATCTTTCACATATTGTCTTCTATATCTTTCACATAATGTCTTCTATATCTTTCACATAATGTCTTCTACATCTTTCACATATTGTCTTCTATATCTTTCACATATTGTCCAGCTTCCACAAGTTCCAGTTTTTTTTTCTTCACACAATGTGAGGATTGTCAGCAAACTGACTAAAAAGTCGCACTGCAGTTATTATTTAAATGTCTTATGAAAGTTATGACTTTAGAGGCTAATGAACTGGGAAAGGGGAAATGATCTCTGTAGTGTACTTTAACAGGATATTACTGATGTGAATATTAAGTAGTCATCAGCAGTTCATGCAGTGATCAGGGGCGATGCTATAAGGAAAATTTTCTGGGTGGGGGGAGGGGGGGGGGGGGGGGGGTTGATTGCAGCCTCAAGAGGCCTAAACCTTGTTTAATTTGATTAGTTGGGTATCCTCATAGTTCTCTGCAATGTTTTCCTGTTTTGGTTTTACTAAGCAATCTTACATTCAGTAGTTTGCCGTTGGTTTTGAACGGTCAGTCTTAGAAAAAAATTTAAATATTATAATACTGTGTCGAATGGAAAATTAAAGTAATGATATATTCAAAACAATAATTTGAAATATAAATACATACACTTAAAAAAAAAAGAAGAGAAACAAGAAAAAGAAATTAGCATCTATACATGGCGGGGATGGGGTGAGGGGGGTGGGGGGTTGGGTGTGAGGGGTGGGGTTTTCATGTTTAATCCCTTTGTAAAGTTTTTGGGGGTAGAAGGGAAGTAGGCGTCCTTAGCCTCCCCTGCAATTTGTTTCCTAGGGAAAGGAGGCGGGGGTTTAAGATACCTAAGTCACCAGCTTCAAGTGCTTGTGATGTGCTGATGTGTACCATTGAATGCTACCAAATAGCATAACCTAATGTAATGTCAAGTTCACTACTCAGTGATAACAGGGAACTCTACTATCTTTCCTGAATGTCTAACTGCACAACTTTTAACAGTTGAAACTCAGCAAGTTGACATGAGTTGACTGTGGCCAGGGCAAAGTCTGTACATTGTTCATTGACTTATCTGCAATTGTAATGGAACTGATTGTATAGTAATCTTGGATGCATCTGAAATGTGGCTCTTTGAGTCACTGTGATGTTAAACCATATGGCAACAGTCCCAGAAGGGGAATACAGAAAGAAACAAGCTCACATATTGATGTTGACCAAAGCATCTGTCCATGAGGCATGCTGTCACATTTGGAAACAACTGATGACATATATATAATGGCATAGCTATCTGTTTCTCCAGACATGCAAGAGTTCCATAAAACAAAATACCTTCACTGCTTTCTTCCACTTCATCCTTCTTATCTGCAATATCCTCACTTCTCTTATTTTCTGCTCCGTAATCATTAAAATCTTCAACTGCAGAAAGATGCACTAAATCTGATCACTATTATCATTCAACCATTTTGTGTGTACAGTAATAGGAAATGCAAATTTTTTTCATTGATAGTACTGCAAAAAAAATATTTAGAAACAGCAAGAAAAAACAGAATACATACAATAATGGAGATTAGTAAATGGTTATTAAACTTGATTAATAGACACTAGAGCATATACAATAATGAGCAACAGCAAAGGGTGATGTACCTTATCAGTAGAAGTTAGAATATATAAGACACTGAGGAACACTAAATGGCAATGTTACTTTTCAAACTGAACTGCAACAATAGCGGGGTTGGGGGGGGGGGGGGGGGGGACTGGTAATGTTTTAGTATCTACTATATGTACAACATGGGAGAAGAGTAAAATTACATGGTCATATTTTAGTAACCACTAGAATATGTACAACACTTGGGACATTTTTTGTTAAAATGATTAAATGTTTTGTAACTACACAAATGTGTACAACATTGGGGGAAAAGTGAAAAAAAAAAACAAATTTAATATTTTAGTAGAAAATACAATAGGCATAATAACAGAGATAGAAAATAGATAGGAATTTTTCAATGCCCTGAAAATCTACAAAGTGGGTGAGAAAGAATTAAATACAGTCACTGATTAGCACAAAAGGATGACAATAATTTTAAAAATGTTGTCTTCCTCCATATTATATTTAGTTCACAGACACTCCTTTGAAAAATGTTGAAATTTACCTGAAACAGCCAGGAAAATTTATAAGTGAATCCAGATATCTGTCTTGGCATATAAGAACCACATTAAAGGGATTTTAAAAAAACATAAAAATAACCGTTTGCCCAAATTTGGAAGAAAAGTGAGTTCTCTGACCTGTCTCTGAGGTAGCTCGAGGAAGCTTATGTTGTCTGTTAGTATCTGCTAAATGCTGAACACTCCATGGCTGTGATGGCTGGTCTACCCAGTCGGCCCAACGAACTGTGCTGTCTGATTTGGGTCGCTCTGTTGTAGGTGATGGTGAATGGGATCCACGCAAATGTACTGTAGCAGTCTACAATGAAAGATAAAGTATGATGAAGTCTTAAATAACTACCATGAAAGATTGGAGAATGCTCAAGAGTTTTACTGCAGGCGTCTACAATGAAGCACAGAAGGAAAGAAGCATTTTTCTGTGGAAATCTACAATAAAAGGTCTAGAAATGATGACAGAGTATTCAACAGCTTTACTGTAGCACTCAACTAAACACAGAATTTACTATAATGTTATTTAAGCAGTCTACAATTAAAGAAGAAGAGATGTTTAACAGTTTAACTTATCAGACTATGGGGAGACAATATTTGTTAACTATTCAAAGAAAGGCTACAGTTAAATATGAAGAAATTTTCAATAGTTTTACTGTAATATGCTGCAATAAAACACTCAACAATCTTACATTATCAGTCTACAATGAAACATGAAGTAAATAACACAATCTGATTATCACATTTATTTAAAAAGTACATTAAAAAAGAATTAATCTTAAGACTTACTTTCCCGTTCTTATAATCATTTATAATTAATACATAATCTATGCAACATTTAATAATCTAATATATAAGACAAACATAAAAGTCCAATATTTAAAAAAATTACAGCCTTATATATTCAAATTCTAACTCAGAAAGATTTAACTAATACTGCTACATCAAGGATATACAACAGTTTTTATATCAAAAAAGATTTCACAAGTTAGTAGTCACCATGTTTATCTGTAGCAGTCTACAATGTCTCTGCTTGAAAAGAAATCTGAATGAACAGAGTTTACTTCAGTAGACTGCACAAAATAAAGATGAAACATTGAAACAGGATTCCAGTCCACATGATTTCTAATAAGTATTGAAGATGCTGTCTGGAAATATTCAGCTGAAAAACGTCAAGTGACTTATCAAGTGATCAGAAGTAGAATTATTGACACAAACCTATATAAGAAAACCCAAGTATGCACACGGAGAGCTGCTGCTGAACACAAAAGACACCTGCATGCCAGGTATGGACTTTGTAATACATTTTTTTTAAACAGTTATTTGATTTCATTTTTTTGTTGATAGCAGCTGTAGTTATTTTTCAAACCTGTAAATAGCAGATATATAATAATTTTTAAACCTGTAAATAGCAGACAGGCAAAAACTGCATTTTATAAAATGAAGAACATCTTGTGCAATATATCTCTGTCATTGTGAGTTAGAAAAAGAATTCTTGCTTGCTACATACATCCACTTTTAACATATGGCTGTGAATCCTGGACAATCGGTAGGCAGGCCAAACAATTTCTTGAGGCCTCAGAGATGTGGTTTTACAAAAGAATGTTTAGAATACCTTTAACAGCCGAAAAGAGAAATCAAGAGGTTTTGAAAGAGGTGGGAGCCCGAAAACAACTTATCACAGACATCAGAAGGAGACAGTCATCATTTTTCAGCCATGTTATGAGAAGAGGGATAATAAAACATGTTGTGACCTCTGGAAAGATCTGTGGAAGGAGGGATAGAAGAAGACAATGAAAGAAGATTCTTGACAGTCTTGCTGCATGGCATGGGGGTGTGTCAGAACATGAACTGATAAATGATGCAGGAGATGGCAGATTGTGGAGAGGCATGATCGCCCACGCCAGTCGGCAAGGCATCTGATGATGATGATGAAATAGCAGATCTATAATTATTTTTAAACCCGTAAATAGCAGGTCTAATTCCTTTTCAAACCTGTAGACAGTGTATAATTAATTTTCAAACACCCCTACTTCTTTAAATCTTTAAACAGCTATTAAATTGCATGATTTTAGTATAATTCGATTATTCACTAGTAAGAAGCTGATGATAAAAAATGACAAATGCTTCCCAGAAACAGTGAAACTACTGATTACCTGAATGGACTCGGTACTTGAATTGACACAGAAATCTTTCTGTATACCAGAATCATTGCTATTGCTGGAGATAATCTCTCCATTGTCAGTTCTCTGGGTTATAATGGATAAAGAATTGTCTCCATGAGAAGAAGATGTTCTCTGCAATGATTCTTCACCTCTGGATCTAGTTCTTCTGCTGCTTCTTGATGGGTAGGAATTTACACTATGATGTTCCAAGTGAGATGGCTTCTGACTGAGAACTGGACTTGCTAGCAATGTTTGATCCCCTGATAAATCAGCAGCACAGGGAGAAGTGGATCTAGGAGTTAATGTGCCATCAGAGTTGTGAGGGTCTGGGGAATTTAGGTCAAATTCTGAGGATGATTCTCTGGAAAAGAGTTGCTCTTCTGACAAGATTCGTCCACCTTGACCAGTTCTCTCCGACACACTTCGAGCACGTCTACTGGCACTATCAATATGAGCAGCAATGGGCGATCTGTCATTTTCATCATGACTGCGGCTGCGATAGATAGAAGACTGGTAAGTAGATGCTGACACATGTGTAGATGATGACCGAGGTCTTTTGTATGAGGAGTATGACTGACTTTCTCTTGCACAAACATCACCAGTAAAACTACCATGTCTAGTACCCCTTAGAGAGTGTGTATAAGCTGGAAGAACTGAAGCTCCAATGTCATCGTTGCTAAGAAATGCTGCCAGTGGTGGACTGCTACAACTCTCTGATGAAGCATTTTTCTTCATAGACAAGTCTGCCGAGTTCTTTCGTTTGAAAAAGCTGCGAAAGGAAATCTTTCTGCCAACAGAAGAATCTCTGCTGTCTCTTGTCCCTGGTGACGTCTGCTGAAGACTTGTAGTTGAAATTGATGATGTCAGTGATAGAGATGAGGATGAACAGTCATTATTCTGTGGCTTTAATGAGGACATTGACAATGACAATGATGATGCACCTTTACGTTTTTGCAGCATCCTCTGAATCAAGCCTGGACTTTTGGACCTAGATTTTCTGCTACGGATATCATCTAACTCTTCCTTCTGACTGGAATTATAAGTATTGTCAGCATCATCAAGTGTATCTATATGTTTTCTGGCTTTATGATTTCTTTTAGTGACTCTGTCAGTGAGAATTACTGTGGAACTCATGGCTTCAGTAAAACTGTTATTTCGCCTTAATCCTGGACCCAACCTACCTATCTCTGTTGCCTCTTCCTCCTCCTTTTGTCTTATTCTATTCCTTTCATTCTGACTCATGAGGGACTGCTGAGATCTCCACATCCTAGTTTGATCACTACTTTGGGAATTTTGACTGTGTACCTTCCGGCGGGGAAGAGAGGAGAAAATAGATCCACCAAATCCACACCTTCTCATATTTAATCCAGTATCGCAGCTATCAAAGGATAATGATGTATTTTTTGTCTCCTTCACAGAATCATCTACTTTACCGTCTGGGTACGTTTTACTCTTAAGGTATCCTTCACCATTTCCTTCTTGAGGACAGTCTTCGACACCCGGGTCAATTCTTTCAGCTTCCTCAAAAACATCATCTAAAGTTCCACTTGTTTCACCAGCAGGTTTAGATACTCTATCTGTAGATGTGTCGACCAGAACAAAGTGACCATCCTTGTAGAGAATCTTCACATCTCCATATGAAAGACCTCCAGAAGGAAGGCTCAGACTCCTTCTCGGACATGGTTTCTGTGTGGCTTGAGGACGGACTGGAGATCTTGAAGCTCGAACTGGCTCCCCACAACCATCGCTAATCTGCAGACTGGCAGACTCCTCCAAATGATAGTCACTTGTTTTTCCATGAATGCTGTCATGAACTGTGTGCGCTTCTTCTATTTCTGAGATTTCTGCAAGCGTCTGAAGATGCACAAAACAAAACATTTTAAACTTCACCAAGTAATGTCAATAAGTATTAATTTACATTATTAGGAATTGACAAAATAAAAACTCTAAAATAAACAAGAAAAGGCAGACTTCCCACCACAATCTTCCCATTACCTCTGTCAGTGCAAGATGTCTGGTCTGCTATTCTTTATGTGTACCAACCATTAAAGAGATAATAGTTACAGAATAATAGAGCTAAAACAAACAAGTGAATTTAAATATCTATGGTAAATTTTCACATCAGAAGGAAAAATGGATAAAGAAATATACTCATAAAATGCTAGATATCTTTGTTTACCAAGGCAAATCTAATAAGAAATATTGTGTAGCCAACTTTGTGCTACCAGTTCTAAACATGGACCCTAACTTAAACTTATGAGCACAAAATCGTAACAACAGAGATGAGATGTCTTAGAAAAAGGTACCCAAGTAACAAAAAGAGATACAATAAAAAAAAATTTTATGATGAAATTAGATGAAAGCCAGGACTGAAACCAGTCATACAGTTTATTAAAGAGCAACAGAATGAATGTATAGTCATCTAGTGAGAATGCCCAGATACAAATCTCCACATTGAGCCCATAGTGAAGAGAAGACCACCCAGAAGATGAATGACCGTATCAAGAACAGCCTTACAGAGACCAAGACCAATGATGACTCCTGTTTCCTTCAACATGAAATAGATGGAGGAAATGAAGAAGACGAAGTTCCAACCAATGCACATCAAGCTGTGATATCTTTTACATTTAATTTATAAACGAATGGATTTTGTGTGGAGTACTGTCTGTCAGTAATGGATTCAAGTGGCGCTCTCTCTCTCTCTCTCTCTCTCTCTCTCTCTCTCTCTCTCTCTCTCTCTCTCTCTCTCTCTCTCTCTCTCTCTCTCTCTCTGTGTGTGTGTGTGTGTGTGTGTGTGTGTGTGGAGTACTGTCTGTCAGTGATGGTGACAAGTTGCTCTCTCTCTCTCTCTCTCTCTCTCTCTCTCTCTTTCTCTCTCTCTCTCTCTCTCTCTCTCTCTGTGTTTGTGTGTGTGTGGAGTACGGGCTGTCAGTAATGGTGACTAGTCGCTCTCTCTCTCTCTCTCTCTCTCTCTCTTTCTGTGTGAGAGTGTGGGTGTGTGGGTGTGCGCGCTAGCGTGTGTGTGTGTGTGTGTGTGTGTGTGTGTGTGTGTGTGTGTGTGCGTGTTTGGAGAACTATCTGTCTGTCTTTAAGGATAACAAGAAACTGTTCTTTATCTTGTGACTGTGCTAAGGAAGTCTGGCTGCAATCCTAGAGAGCCACATAGTGTGTGTTGCCTCTATGAAATTAGTGTTTGCAACTCGTTTCATTATGCTTACTGTTTAGTTTGGCTACATGCAGTGGGATCTTATGGATACTAACAGTTGAGCTTCAAAAGTCAGGCCTGGTCAGTTACAGCACGAGGTGAAAAACTACATTTCTCAACACAAATTAAATGCCTGTGGAGAACTGTTAACTCTTTCTGCAACAAATACAATTATCACATGAGTCCACACGAATGTAGTACAAAAGCACAAAATACTTAGCAAAAGCAATGACCCCAGGTACCTACAAATCGCATGCACTCGCAAACTTAAAAACCAAGTCCATAATTAAACCTATAATCGTAACAGGAGTCGAATAACTGAACCACTTTGCCTTGGACAACCTCGGTATGGACCATTAGGCCAAATCCTCCATTTAACAGATTATTGTAGTTAAAACAAACTCTGCCTCAGACAAGTATTATCTTAACTCCTGTTTGGTCATATATAATTACTGAAACGCAACAGGTCTCTGCGGCAGAAAGAGCTGAGAACTGTATGTCATTGTTTAGGGATAACAGATATACGACGGTGTGTTTAAACAAAAAATCAGAAGAGTTAATGTGACAAGGCACAACAAAAGCACATCTAATAACATCAGAGTGACATCTGACACAGCATCAGCAATGGATCTAACTACAGCACAGTGACCACGCTGCTCTGATATTTCAACAAGACCTCACAAACCAGTCAGTCATTTAGGTATGGTGGCACCATAGCAACAGGATGACTTCACAAGTAATGCAGCCTTCAGGCTTACTGGGCACTATATTTTAGAGACCAATCGGCACTTGGTGAGTGATATGGTCAGCATCACAGTGGCCGTCTTTACTTTCCAGGACTTTTACCTGATAATCGTTTAAGGCTGAGTCGACCTAAGAGCAGGGGTCATTTAAAAAAAAAAACGTTTAGCTCCGATTGGTTTTGAACCTAAAAGCGCAGGAGAGCTTCTAGTCGCTACACCATGGTGACTCAGAATACAGCAAAGGCGGTAAAAATAAGCTGCACACATACCACATAGCGGAAAAAAAGGCTCTTTCAATACAGTGCTGAAAAGCAAAGCAGGAAAAGATTGATGAGGAGAATGAAAACAAGATAATAAAGAAAGAGCATTACGTCACAACTATTAAGGAATTTACGGGGGTTGGGTAGGGGGGGGGGGGGGGGGGGGGGGGGGGTTGAAAAGAAGAAGAAGAGAATGAAGAAAGAATGTAGGAGGATGAAGATAGGAACATTGTGAGGGAAAGAGAAGAACAAAAAAGTGGGGGGGGGGGGTGGCGTAGAGGGCAAGAATATGGATATGATGGAGGTGTAAATGGTTTGGAGCAGGAGGAGAAAGTGGAGGAGAAGATTGATGTGCAGCAACAGGAGGCGGAAAAGAAGAAGGATGTAATTCTTTAGAAGAGGAAGGGAGGGGTGTATAGAAGAACGAGGAGAACAAGAAGAATGAGGAGGGAGAAATGATACAATGCTTCATGGTGCTGATGGTAAATTCTCTTAATTATTGGCTTTCGCAAAGGGAAACAAATCTGGAAAACATGTTGTGATAGTTGGTCTTCATTTGTAAGCCAATGCACCAGCCGCTTTGTGAGTGCACCATTATACAAGTAAAATAGCTTCAATCAGGTACCGTCTCCACAGTAACGGTTGTCTGAATTGGATATCCAACCTGTTCTGTCTTTCACCCTGGATGCACATTCTCACAAACTGATGTTCGTCCATCTTTTGGTGTTACCTTCCCGCTTGTATCCCTGTCCACCTCATGTTGACCTGCTTTCAAATTTTCCCACCAGTCTAGTTTTTATACCGTTATGTCTTTCAATATGGTCGAAATATTTCCCCTGTCTGCTTTGTATTTCCTTCAGCAACTCTCTACGATTATTACACACTAACCCTGATATTCAAATCTAGAGTATCCAACACTCATAAAGCCATAAACAGCAAACAGTGATTGACTATACAGCAGGATGTGTGGAGCATAACATAAACAGCAAACAGTGATTGACTATACAGCAGGATGTGTGGAGCATAACATAAACAGCAAACAGTGATTGACTATACAGCAGGATGTGTGGAGCATAACATAAACAGCAAACAGTGATTGACTATACAGCAGGATGTGTGGAGCATAACATAAACAGCAAACAGTGATTGACTATACAGCAGGATGTGTGGAGCATAACATAAACAGCAAAAAACAGTGATTGACTATACAGCAGGATGTGTGGAGCATAACATAAACAGCAAACAGTGATTGACTATACAGCAGGATGTGTGGAGCATAACATAAACAGCAAACAGTGATTGACTATACAGCAGGATGTGTGGAGCATAACATAAACACTGCGGCACTTCTCCATCGCACATCTTATCAGGGCAAACAATTTAGAGACACTGAGCAAGGTACGGTAACGTAAACATGACGGAACTAATCAATAAGTTTCTTGACAGCAACAATCAACCAACCCCCCCCCCCCCCCCCTTTTTTTTCTCTTTCCTTCATATCTGAATTCCTCTCACTCACTGCCCTAA